AGCACAAGGGCTGCGGGCCCAAAGCGCCGCTGGACCCGGGTCCGCCACCCGGGTCGCAGAGCCTGTCAACTGCAGCCCGCTCCGCCCACCCGCCTCGCCATTGGTGATCCGTAGTTGCTGGGGTTGACGCAGATGTTCATTGGTTGAAATACCCGTCAATCTCAATCTCATCACCTCCCCCGGGCCTACGCCTTCCCGAACCTATTGAGAGGACGCAGTCACTGCAGCCAATGGAAACCCGCACACGGAGAAGAGGCGGGGCCAGAAGATGAGGGGGAAGGGTCTCTTTTTCCTCAGCCAATAGCGGGGAGGAGAGGGGTTGATCAGGGCGGGGCCAGATGTTTACATTCCCGCGTGCGCTGGCCCTCCCCGCGCAGTGGCTGGAGAAGCGGAGCTGAGGTAGTACTTAGTGGGGCATCCGCAGTCACTCCAAGGAGGCTTCTCGGCTGGGCTGCAGGGCGAGGAGATCCCTGGTCAGTCCGCAGACTCGCGGCTTGAAAGCCACGAGCAGGTAGCCTGCGCAAGAACTGGCCTGTGTGCGCGTGCGCCCATGTGCATCCGCGCCTTGCGTGTCCGCGCTTGCGTGCCTGGGTGCCTGTAGGTGCCTGCCCACGCGTGTCTGTGAGCGAGGTGGATAGCGAACAGCGTGGGATCCGACAGCTTCGGCCTTCTTCCCTAGGGAGGAGAGGAGTGTGCCGGGGGTCACCTGCAGTACAGCCCGGCCGGGTGGCACAGACTTACTCTGGGCTCTTTCTTAGACCTTGAAGTCAAGATTTTATCTCTGCTGTATTTGCACTCATTTGGACCTCAGGAAATGTTTACTTTGGAATGCTACTTTGGTTTACAACACCTGTTTATCTATTGATCTTTTGACTTAGGTGCTGGCAAGGCCACTGTAAAAAAGTGGAGTGTTGGGAGTTGGAGGCAGGAACTTAAATTTGAGTCCTGCCCGAGTAATTTAGTGATTTAGCGAGATCATGTCTCAAAATTAAAAATGTAAAGTGCTGGGAATGTAGCTTAGTGCAAAGTCCCTGGCTTCAATCTCCAGTACTTGGGCCAGGGTGAGAGCGATCATGAAAATGTGAAGTAGATAGAGGTGAATTTGTGATCTTACTGGAATCCCTCCTGAACTGAAACTGTTCAGGGATATTTATCTTATCATCTGTAACCCTTGATCCCAATGTGTGAATGAGTTGGGACACTGTACACCTACCAAAGGCAGAATACCACTCTCTGCGTGGGCCCCCCTCTGTATGTCTGGCATCTGGGAGTTTAGGGATCAGGATGCCTTCAGCCCAGCTTCACGTCTACCTGCCAGGCCTTTCTTAGCTGGGGAGGAGTGGACTGGCCAGACCACTCTCTGGAGGAGAGGATGGCGGACACCTGCCTGCTTTCTTTCCCTCTCCACCTCCTGGCATTCCCCTCCAACTTGGTCTTGACACAGCTTGAATATGGCCACTGCCACCCTGAGGGCAAGATCGAAATACAGTTATTCCAAGGATTGGTTCAGGGCCACCCTCCCCGCTCTGGGATTCCAAAAGCCATGGCTGATCAAGCTCCTTCTGTTTAAGAGCACAGTATTTGCAGAGACCCTCTGTGCACCCTCCCAGGTACTTTAAATTGTCTCTAAATTACAAGTGATTCTGAATACAATGTAGATACTGTGTAAACAGTCGTTATCCTCTATTGTTTAGGGACTAATGACAAAAGTCTACATATTCAGTACAGGCACAGTTTTTTTTCTAAATATTTTTGAATCCACAGATCCATATCAAGTGATAGATCAGAAAATACAGCATCGAGTATGGATATTTGTCGTCTTGCCCTGGGTAAGTAGAAGACCCACCAAACAGGTCTCACCAAATACATGTTTATTTCACGAGTCATTTGGTGAAGGGTTTCCACTCCAGGATTCCAGGTACTAAAGATGTCTCCTCCTCACTGATTTCCAGGCAGCAAGTCAAGGAATGAACTCCACCAGCCCTCCTTGTGCCTGACCCAAGGCGGACTTCAGCCTGTCCGCCTCTGGCCCCTGGAAATTTCCACTCTGACCAAGCTGAAATGTCTCCCTGAATGTCAGCCTATCCTGGGCTTCCCTGGGAGCCACATAAGGAAGACGAAGGTATGACCGAGGCCTTGGTGGATGCATCTCTGTAGATGAAATAACACCGGAAGGTGTGGGTGATGTGGACTCTTTGGAGGAGAGGGAGGCTGGAGGGTCGCTTGGGCCTCGCAGGTTCTTGACTGTCTTTCATGTTTCATGACACCCACTCTCCTTAGGGCTTCAGAAATCCTAAAGGATTTATCAGAATAAAACTACAGGTGGTTTTCATTAGTTTGGGACCGTGCCTCTGACTGGTTTTGGTTTTGTTGTTGTTGTTGGCAGGCGGTGGAACCACTGAGCTAAATCCTCGGCCCTTTGCTTTTATTTTTAAATTGTGACCAAATACAATGGTACACACCTGTAATCTTAGCACTCTGAAAAATTGAAGCAGAAGGATTGCACATTCAACCCAACCTGGGCAACTCAGCAAATTATTGAGACCACGTCTTAAGATAAAAACTTAAAATTTAAAAACAACTCCAGGTGTAAGACTTGAATAGGCTAAAGTGACTCCATGCTAATAGACCAGACTGTGCTTCTTCATATGCTAATTGCTACCTTTTGTAACAGCCCGCCCAGGGGCAAATGGTTTGACAAAAGGTGACCCTAGAACATTTCCTGCATAAGATAAGCAATGTGTTTGCAGTCTTGTTCTGTGAATTCCCTGACTCTTTGTTTAGAAAAACCTTATAAAAAGTACCTCAGCCCCTGAGCAGTTGCCTCTCTGAGCCACCTGGCTCCGGGAGTGCCGTCTGGCCAGACTAATAAAGGTCTCTTTACCATCTAGGCTGGTGTGTTCCTTCCTGGGTTTCTCGGTTCTCTGTCGTGTTCCCGGAGCCTCGCTGGGTGTTAGGGCCCAGCATCGTGGAGGCCTTTCGGCTGTTCACGCTCCGTGGAGTGGAAGTGAGACTTTAGGTCTTACATTAGGGCTTATCCAGTATAAAATCACAGGAGTTAAAATTGTGCAAGTATTTCAAAAAAATATTCAAGGGTAAATTAAAAAAATAAAAAAGACCTCCCTGTGATGTTAAAATTTAGAAAAGGACCCCTTTCTGACCTATATAGAAAGGGCCATATGAGTCACTTATAGTTACTCCCACAGCTATCAAGGTAGCTGAAACTCAGCTACACCACTCTAGAGTAAAACAGAATTCCAGGGAATCCGACTCCAGGAGGCCAAGAGACAACGCACTCAAAGCCCTGCTCTCACCACACCGGAAGCTGGTGAGTCTACGCACGGCTGAAGAAGGAGAACTACAATCTAGATATAGACTCTTATATTGTGTCATACTGTTATGAGTTATTATACTTCTAAATTAAGAGTTTATGAGCCTACAGATGATAAAAATATGAAAACTTTTTGTGCTCTGGGAATCCTAATCCGCAATTTAGCTGTCTAAGAGATGCCTTTACAAATTGCTGTGACCCCTTAGCTAAAAATTTAAAACAATGAATCAAGGATTTGATTCTACCTAAGATCAGTGGGGATTGTAAGACTTGAATAGGCTAAAGTGACTCCATGCTAATAGGCCAGACTGTGCTTCTTCATATGCTAATTGCTACCTTGGTTAACAGCCCGCCCAGGGGCAAATGGTTTGACAAAAGGTGACCCTAGAACATTTCCTGCATAAGATAAGCAATGTGTTTGCAGTCTTGTTCTGTGAATTCCCTGACTCTTTGTTTAGAAAAACCTTATAAAAAGTACCTCAGCCCCTGAGCAGTTGCCTCTCTGAGCCACCTGGCTCCGGGAGTGCCGTCTGGCCAGACTAATAAAGGTCTCTTTACCATCTAGCCTGGTGTGTTCCTTCCTGGGTTTCTCGGTTCTCTGTCGTGTTCCCGGAGCCTCGCTGGGTGTTAGGGCCCAGCATCGTGGAGGCCTTTCGGCTGTTCACGCTCCGTGGAGTGGAAGTGAGACTTTAGGTCTTACATTAGGGCTTATCCAGTATAAAATCACAGGAGTTAAAATTGTGCAAGTATTTCAAAAAAATATTCAAGGGTAAATTAAAAAAATAAAAAAGACCTCCCTGTGATGTTAAAATTTAGAAAAGGACCCCTTTCTGACCTATATAGAAAGGGCCATATGAGTCACTTATAGTTACTCCCACAGCTATCAAGGTAGCTGAAACTCAGCTACACCACTCTAGAGTAAAACAGAATTCCAGGGAATCCGACTCTAGGAGGCCAAGAGACAACGCACTCAAAGCCCTGCTCTCACCACACCGGAAGCTGGTGAGTCTACGCACGGCTGAAGAAGGAGAACTACAATCTAGATATAGACTCTTATATTGTGTCATACTGTTATGAGTTATTATACTTCTAAATTAAGAGTTTATGAGCCTACAGATGATAAAAATATGAAAACTTTTTGTGCTCTGGGAATCCTAATCCCCAATTTAGCTGTCTAAGAGATGCCTTTACAAATTGCTGTGACCCCTTAGCTAAAAATTTAAAACAATGAATCAAGGATTTGATTCTACCTAAGATCAGTGGGGATTGTAAGACTTGAATAGGCTAAAGTGACTCCATGCTAATAGACCAGACTGTGCTTCTTCATATGCTAATTGCTACCTTGGTTAACAGCCCGCCCAGGGGCAAATGGTTTGACAAAAGGTGACCCTAGAACATTTCCTGCATAAGATAAGCAATGTGTTTGCAGTCTTGTTCTGTGAATTCCCTGACTCTTTGTTTAGAAAAACCTTATAAAAAGTACCTCAGCCCCTGAGCAGTTGCCTCTCTGAGCCACCTGGCTCCGGGAGTGCCGTCTGGCCAGACTAATAAAGGTCTCTTTACCATCTAGGCTGGTGTGTTCCTTCCTGGGTTTCTCGGTTCTCTGTCGTGTTCCCGGAGCCTCGCTGGGTGTTAGGGCCCAGCATCGTGGAGGCCTTTCGGCTGTTCACGCTCCGTGGAGTGGAAGTGAGACTTTAGGTCTTACACAGGGACCTCCCGGAAGGTAGAATCCTGCAGCATTCGCCTTTTTGTGGCTGCCAATGGGTGTAACAAGACGCCCTTGGGGGTTACCCATGTTACAGCAGTTGTAAGAAGTTCCTCCCTTTCTCAAGGCTGAATATTACCCTACTGCATGCAGACACCCCCTTTGTTTGCCCACTGATGCACAGTGGGCACTTGGGCTGCTTTCACCCTCTGGCTACTGTAGACAGGGTTTCTGTGAACTTTGTATGCTTCTGTGAACTTTGTATGCAAGTTTCCGTGTGGATGTACACATTCATTTCTCCCTCTCTCCCTCTCCCTCTCTCCCTCTCTCTCTCTCTCTCTCTCTCTCTCTCTCTCTCTCTCTCGACAGGGTCTCTGTGTAGCTCAGGCTGGCCTTGATATCATGGCAGCCCTCCTGTCTCAGCCTCCTAAATGCTAGGATCACAGGCGTGTGCCACCATAATCAGCTCATTTCACTTGCATGTATGCAAGGAGTGGAATTATAGATCACACAACAACTCTGCTTTTAGCTCTGACACGGGGTTGTGCTTGAAAGCAGAGAACTTTCCAGTTTGGACGGCAGTTGGTGTTGTGGGTGTCATTCCTTGGCCTCTACCCTAGAGCACAATTCTGGGGTGGGAGGTCCTCTACTGCAGAAACTGGAAGGGAGATTCTGGGCCATATACAGGGAATTTCTTTACATAACATGAATTTTTATCCTAAATGACATTTTAAAAGCCCTGCTTTCTAAAGTTTCTTTCTCTGGTGCCCAAATAAAAATAGACTGCGGAGCTGCAAACAGGGACTGACTATATTTCCCACAAAGCCAGGCGCTGGCGCACACCAATTAACTTTTCTTTTTTCTCTTCCCGGCTGTTAAGAAGTAAATAGAAACCAACAGCTGAGGACACTTTGGGAGATGTTGCTGATGACTCACCAAAAATCACAGCCAAACTGCCAGTTGCACTTCTGCTATAGAAATAAAACCTATTTTAAGGGAAACCGTAGCCTCATGAATCTCCCAGAAGTGCCAGAACCACTCACACTACACCCAGTTCAACGTGCGGCTCCTTCGCGGCTGCCCCGCCCTCTACTCCCCAAGCCCGGTCCCCCGCACACTCCAACCCCGCCCACACCAGGGGCCCAGGTCCTGCCCCGGACGTTCAGTACTAGCAGACAGTCTTGGGGTCCTAGGCTTCCCGACTCTGGCCCTAGATGCGGAGCACGCGACTGAGTGGTCGACTGGAGCCCCGCAGGTGCGTGTCGCCAGGGTGCCTGACAGCCGCTGTGACGTCCCACGTCCGGCGTGGCCCGAGGACTCCCGCTGACACAGGACAAGCCCCAGCTGGAGGCTCGCGAGGCTGGTTGGAGCAGCCCTGGCGGTGCGCGGCTTGCATCCTGCGACCTCCCCGACCTCGATGGGGCCCTTGGACACAAGATGCCCCGGGCAGGAACAGCCAGGCTGGGATACTACGTGCCCAGGACTTATTTGGTGGAGGTGCTGCACTTGGTGGCAAATGGGGTCGGTGGGTGCCAGCGTGGTGGCTTCTGCACCGGCACCGGAGGCTCACAGTTCCTTGGAGGAGCGGTGCTGCCAGAAATGAAAGGCTGCCCAAAGCTAGCCTAGGGGACCAGGCGATGACCAGGCTACCCTCTGCCTGGGAGGTCAGTGGCCATGCCCCAGAATGGGAGAGGTCTCTGAGGGCATCTGTGGGATGTCTGTTGGCAGGGCTCATGGAACAGGTGGATGAAGGTGTAAGACATGCAGTTCAGGGCCACTCCCGGTCCTTACAGGGTTTCAGGTGACACCCTGAACACCTGCAGGGTGCCTGGGAACGTCCAAGGCCTGGCCTGGGCTCATGCCTGCAGCTGGGTCCCTGTGAGGGCAAGGCATTCGGTGATTTTCCGTAAGGACACAGAAAGAGATGGGGGAAACTGAGAGGCTCTAGGAGGCCTGAGGGTGGCCCCATCCAGCCAGAGCACTCACTGCTCTTGTCCCTCGTCCACTCCTTCACTTAGGATGGCAGGGAAGCCAGCAGGTAGGTGGGAAGTGCTGGCTCCCAGCCCCCTGACAGAGCCTCCTCAGGACAGGAGAGCTGCTGCAGGCTGTTACTTCAGTTAACTGGACTCTTGCGGTGTCCACCATCTTGGAAATGTTGGGTTAGTGTCTTTAATCCACACACCCACCTGGTGAGTGCTGGGAGCTGTTTTGCAGAGCTGGAGGTCAGAGGGAGTGAGAAATTTGGCTGGGGTGAAGTCCTGACTTCACTGGGTCTCCTGGGCAGCAGCCACCCTTCTTGGGCCTCAGTTTCCCCAGAGAATTTCTTGAGTAGGACTAGTTCCTTGCAGGAAGTGGATGGGCAGCACAGGTGGCATGTGG